CCACACTCACCCCCGACGGACGGAGGACAGACAGACGCAGACTCAGCAACAAGGCTAGCGGCGTAGTCGAGACGACAAGCAGCAAAGTAAACCAACCCAGCGACCAGAGCAGACGCAGCAGAGGACTCAAAGGTAGGGTCAGTGACAACAGTAGCTAGGAGACGCGTGACAGTTAGACTGGCAGCACAACGAGAGTCAGACTCCGGGTCAGGAAGAGTAGGTAGAGAGGACGCAGGAGGAGACGGCAGAGGGACACGCTGAGGAGCAGTGGAGGGACACAGAGTCATGTAGTGAGTGCCAGAGACAGGAGGAGGACGCTCACGTGGGACACGACGACCAGTGCGAGCAGTGCGAACAGGCGACGCAGGACGAGACTCAGGCTCACGACGCTCCGTAAGACCTCCTGTGGGACCAGTGTAAGGGGAGGGACCAGGGAGAGGCGAGGCAGGCGGTAACTGTGACTGCGACTGGACAGGCGGAGGACACTCTAAGGAGGAAGGAGGACAAGGAGGAGGAGTCTGACCAAGAACCTGCTGAAGGAGCGGTACGAAGTAAGGTCGCGGCCGCGCAGCGTCTCCAGAACCAGTAGAGACACCAGCGTCAGGGTCCTCAGTACCAGCAGCAGCTCCAACGTCGGGGTCCGCAGCACCAGCAGCAGCTCCACCGCCCGGGTCCTCAGCACCAGCAGCAGCTCTACCGCCCGGGTCCTCAGCACCAGCAGGAGCTCCAACGCCCGGGTCCTCAGCACCAGCAGTAGCTCCAACGCCCGAGTCCTCAGCACCAGCAGCAGCTCCAACGCCCGGGTCCTCAGCACCAGCAGGAGCTCCAACGCCCGGGTCCTCAGCACCAGTAGCACCGGCAGTACCAGGGTCCGCAGCACCAGGAGCGCCACTCCGAAGACTGCAGCGCCGCGTGTACCATTTCGGATCCGCTGAAGGGAGGGGAGCTCCCGGGTAGGAGGGGAAGCACTGGTACCAGCTCCAGCAGCACCTCTCCTGAGGCTGCAGTACTGTAGGTACCTCTCCTGCAGCTGCTGTGAGGAGAGGGCTCCTCCAGGTGTAGCACTCCCAGGCTCAGTACCGCTAGACTCAGCACCCCCAGACTCAGCACCCCCAGGCTCCGCACCCCTAGGCTCCGCACCCCCAGACTCAGCACCCCCAGGCTCAGCACTCCCAGGCTCCGCACCCCCAGACTCAGCACCGCCAGGCTCCTCACGCTCAGGCTCAGCACCCCTAGCAGGACGAGAGTCGACAGCTACCTCGACAGGCTCAACCGGGTCTACCTGGGACACACCTGAGGGAGCGGCACCCTGAGGGGGGAGGGGGTCTACCACAGCAGCACCTGGCGCGAGGAAGAGAGGCGGGGGGGGGGGGAGCGGGGCAGTGCGGTAGGGGAAGAGGCGGTAGTAGGGGACGGACTCGTCAAAAGTGACGTCCTGAGAAGGCAGAACCCGGCGCGAGGTGACGTGGTAAAACTGCCAGCCAGGCGCGTCCGGGACAAAGCCAAGAAAGACACAAGGAACAGCGCGAGAGGAGAGCTTGTCCGCGGACGTGTCGCGAACAAAAGCTCGGGATCCCCAGACCCGAAAACGCGACGCATCGCCAACCTCTCCCGTCCAACGCAGTGTCGGGGAAGTCTCCGGCAAGGAGACACGGGGCCAGAGGTTGAGCTGATGCACAGCGTATCGGACCGCAAACGGCCACAGAAAGTGGGGAGCAGCCGCATGAATCAGGGAGGTACGAGCGACCTCCATGACCAAGCCAATGCGGCGCTCAGCAACCCCATTCTGCTGTGGAGAGGCCGGAAGCGTGAACGACTGCTCAATGCCGTGCTCGGCACAGTAGGCTGCCAGGAGGTCGGAGGAGAACTCACCACCTCTGTCAGAGTGCAAGCGCAGGACAGGAAAGTCCGAGCGGAAACGCTCGCTGAGCTGGAGACGAGCTCTGCGGATCCAAGGGATCAAGACAGCAGGGACCTCACCCTTGGTGTGCAAGGGGAAGACCGTGGTGTAGCGCGAGTAGTCGTCAACAACAATCAGGAAGAACCTCTTCTGACCCTATCCACGGACGCGGGCTGGGCCCCACACGTCCAGGTGGAGCGTCTGCAAGGGAGCAGTCGTGGGGGGAAAGGAGGAGGAGTGAGGAGCGGCGCGCTGCCGCCCCTCGACACAGGGAAGACAGGGAGGAGCAGGCGAGTCTGGGAGGGGAGGGAGCACCCTGGGAAGACCAGCAACAAGGTACCGTTTGTGCATGGCACGAAGGCGCTGCACAGACGGGTGACCAAGTCGGTGGTGCCAGAGGACGGTCTCGTGCGCCAGAGAGCGACACGAGCAGGGGGCCGACAGCTGACCTGACGCAGACGCAGACGCAGCTACCTGAGGGGACTCAGTGGTCAGTGTGTACAGGTCCGACCCCGGCTGCCGAGTGAAGGTAGCCAGGTGACGGCCCGTCCGAGCACACGTGCAGTGTGTCACGCGCTCGTAGGCAGGGGTGAACTGGTGAACACCCGCGTCCTGGAGCGCACAACCCGCCACCAAGTTCGTAGAGAACGAGGGGAGGTGGAGACCAGACAGTGTGCCAGACGGGACCGCAGGACAGGGAAGAACAGTGGAGGAGGTCGCAATGACCGGACCCCCAGAGGGGTCAGCGAGGGAGACAGCAACTGGCCGAGCAAGCGGCTCAAGGACAGTGCGGTCACGAAAGAAACAGCGAGAAGCACCTGAGTCCAGGGTGAAGGTGTGCAGTGCCTCAGTCGACTCAGTACCAGGGGGGACAGACTCACTAGCACCTAGAGCGGCAGCCTCACCATCACCTGAGGTAGCAGACACGCGAGTACCTGCAGTGGCAGTCTCACTAGCACCTAGAGCGGCAGCCTCACTGGTCCGAATGCCCGGGTCGGGCGGAACACGCAGGTACTGAGCACCCTCTCCACTAGTAAACATCGCATACATGGCAGTGAGAATAGCATCAAAGTCTAGAGCCCAGATATCAACTCCCTTCTTCATCAGATCAGCCCAGCGGGGCAGCTCAGTGGCATCAGGGAACTGGGTGCGCCAAGCGTCGTCAAGGCGCGAGAAACAGCGCTGCGTGGGGTGCAGCCTCCCACACGTCTGACCAGTGCGGTCACCAGTGCGGATGACGTACGTGCAGCTAAAGCCACCCGCCCCCCCGCGCTGCGAATACCACTCACGGGCCTCCTGGAGCGACGGAGTGTGCTGCTGGCTCAGACCACCGCCAGCGCCTCCACGACCACCACCGCCGCCGCCACCTCCTCGACCACCCCCTCCCCTGCCGCTGCCACGACCACCGCCGCCCCCGCTGCCACCCACGCCCCTGCCACCGCCCCCGCCGCTGCCGTCACCACCCCCACTGCCGCCACTAGCCTCTCCAGCCCCACCTCCACTCCCACCGCCTCCACCCCCGCCTCCCCCGCCGCCACCTCCACCCCTGCCCCCCTTGCTCCTGCGGCGCCCGCTCGGAGCAGACGCCGTCCCGACCTTCTCAGCACCAAGGAGGTCGACAGCAGAAGCAGAGGCTACAGAGGGGAGAAGGGGGGAAGGGGAACACCCCTCAAAGAAAGGGGTGCGGGGGTCGCCACGAGAGGCACCTACAGCGACGATGCTCGCCTCAGCTGCAAGTAGTTCCTTCTCGAGGAGGGCAATGGTGAGCTCAGTGGGGCAGCGAGCTAGGAAGTGATCCCTGACTGCGCGCAGAGAGTCAGGGAGGCGGGTGACGATGTGGTAAAGAGTGAGCCAGAGCGGGGGGGGGGTTCCTAGCAAGGAATTCATCGGGCATAGCAGCACGGAAGCGGGCCTCACTAGTCTTGAGGTGGGTGATGAGGTCAGCAACTGTGTGAAAGGAGGCCAGGTCGGGGAACAGGTAGGGGAGTGAGAGGCGGCCTAGTGCGGCAGAAGCAGGTGAGGAGTAGCGAGCAACGACAGCAGTGTACAGTTCCTTAGCAGTCTTGTGCTGGCCAAAGTGCTCGCGCTCATCTATCGGCAGGGAGTTGCGAATAGCAAAGCGAGCGTGGGCGTCACGAGTCTGCCACTGGGAGCGGGTAGTGCTGTCAGCAGTAGTAGGAGGGGCAGCCCGTGGTATGGCCGAGGGCATGATCGTACAGTGAGACGTCCTCCTTGGCAGTGAGCTGTAGGAAGAGGTTGCAAGTCATCGAGCCAGGTGTCGAATTTCACTGGGCGGCCCTCAGTATCGAAAGTGAGCACAGGAGGACTAGCCATAGTAGCAGCAGCAGTAGCAGTAGCAGCAGTAGCTGTAGCAACAGTAGCAGTAGCAGTAGTAGCAGTAGCAGCAGTAGCAGCAGTAGCAGTAGCAGTAGCAGCAGTAGCGACGAGGCCGCTAAGAGGCGGTGCGCGGGGTCGACGGGGCCGGCGGGGCCTCTATGCGGGGCGCGCGCGGGGACAGCGGGGCCGGCGGGGCCTCTAGGCGGGGCGCGCGCGGGGTCGACGGGGCCGGCGGGGCCTCTAGGCGGGGTGCGCACGGGGTCGACGGGGTCGCGGGGCCTCTAGGCGGGTCGCAAGCGGGGACGACGGGGCCGCGGGGCCTCTAGGCGGGGTGTGTGCGGGATCGACGGGGCCGGGGAGGCCTCTAGGCGGGGCGCACGCGGGGTCGACGGGGCTGGCGGGGCCACTAGACGGGGCGCGCGCGGGGTCGACGGGGCCAGCGGGGCCTCTAAGCGGGGCGCGCGCGGGGTCGACGAGGCTAGCGGGGCTGCTAAGCGGAGCGCGCGCGCGGTCGACGGGGCCAGTGGGGCCTCTAAGCGGGGCGCTCGCGCGGTCGACGGGGCAAGCGGGGTAGAGGGCTTAGGAGAGGGGGTAGAGGGTTTAGGAGGGGGGGTAGAGGGTTTAGAAGGGGGTTAGAGGGTTTAGGAGGGGGGGAGAGGGTATATGAGGGGGGTAGAGGGTTTAAGAGGAGGGGTAGAGGATTTAGGAGGGGGGTAGAGGGTCTAGGAGGGGGGGTAGAGGGTTTAGGAGGGGGGGTAGAGGTTTAGAGGGGGTAGACAGTGGGGGAGGGGGAGTAGATGGTGGGGGAGGGGGAGTAGAAGGTGGGGGAGGGGGAGTAGATGGTGGAGGAGGGGGAGTAGATGGTGGGGGAGAAGGGGAAGAGGGTGGGGGAAGGAGGAAGTATACACAGTTGGTTTGTCAAAAACTCAGGTGGTGCATGCGAGCAATAGACGGTCGAGGACCTGCGGGTGATGGCGCATGTGCAGGAATAGGTGCTGGTGGGGAGGGTAGGGTAAGGAAGCAACAGAGGGGGGAAGAGTGTCGGAAATGAGGGTGAGTGCTGGGGAGAGAAAGGGCTTGGAAACGCGATATGGGTACATAACACCAGATATGGCAGAGAACTTGCTAGAGAGAAGCCAGGTTGCAAGGCAAGGTGCTGTTGGGGGGGGTTGGAAAATGGGGAAAGGGGTTGTGGGAGGAAAGGAAGGGTTTAAATGTGCGATGAACATTGCTGCAAGTTCGCATTGAAGCATAATGGAAGTTCTTTTGATGCAACAAACATAGCAGTGAATCTACTAGGCCAAACATGCCATGACACGAATACCGCATTGGGATGCCATACTTACACAAACAGATACCGACCTTTGGGGTTTTTGCCAGAAGGTTTGGCGCGCCCTTTCTGGCTCCCCTTCACATCAACCATTCCTGGCTTTGCTGTTGTCCTTGATGTGCCCGCTTCTGAGCCTTTCTGCTTCTTGATGGCACCGCCAACTGGCACCAATGCATTAGACCGTTTGTTTTTCAGATCGGGAGCCTCCTTCCCCTTAGCCTTGTCACCCGTAGCCTCCTTCCCCTTAGTCTTGTCACCGATAGCCTCCTTCCCCTTAGCCTTGTCACCGATAGCCTCCTTCCCCTTAGCCTTGTCACCACTAGCAGGCAGCTGGGCTTTAGTATTCTTGACAGGTGCAGGGCGGATGGCAGAAACTTCAGGGTTCGCCTTCTTGGCAGCACCCTTTGCTTCCTTCTGAGCTCCACGTGGAGTCTCCTTGAGGTCGGAAAGAGCCTTCTCTTTCCCACGTAGCAGAGCCCGTGCCTCCGCCACTGCCTCGTCCTCTTCGGCCTCGTCATCCTCAGCTTCGCATTGCTCTTCAAGCAACTCTTCAAAGCCAGACGCACGGACACCACGTTTAGGCTCATTCGCGTCCTCATTATTATTCTCTGCCTCCCCATCCGCACCCTCCTGCCTTTTTGCAGCCTTCACATCCGCCTCATCCACCTCGTCTTCCTCCTCGTCTTCCTTTTCTTCCCCATCCCCATCCTCCTCATCCTCCTCCTCATCCTCCTCCTCATCCTCCTCCTCATCCTCCTCCTCATCCTCCTCCTCTTCCTCCTCCTCCTCCTCCTCCTCCTCCTCCTCATCCTCCTCCTCCTCCTCCTCCTCCTCCTCCTCCTCGTCCTCCTCCTCCTCCTCCTCCTCCCTCTCCTTCCATGCATTCTCAGCCTCATCATGCTCCTCTTGCTCGCCATCTACCATTTTGTCATCTTCGTCAGCTGATACTACAGCTTCATCCTGAGAGCCATTGTCTTCCGCCAACCACACCTTCTTCTTCCGCTGGCGCTTGGACTTTCGGGAAGCACCGACGTCTGGGCCCTGGCCGCTTGTAGTTTTAGAGGTAGGAGTAGCTTTCGTGTCATATTTCTCCTTGGTTTCAGCCTTGGCCACCCCCTTGGTCTTGGTGGGCTTGGAAGAGCCTTGAGCCTTGCTGCACTTGCTCAACTGTTGTCTTGGGGACATGTTGTTCACCACGAGAGAAAAATCAAGTACGAGGGAATTGGTGACACGGTTGTTACTAGGTCGGTTTGAATCAGAATGAGTTATGGAAGCAGTTCACAAGAGCATTATATAAACACTGAACAAGAAGGCATCGCACTACACAAGCAGATCTAGTGCTCTCATGAAACAGAGACTAGTCAAGAACATACCCGAGCCGCGGACGGCTCGATTGCAAGGTGTAGCTCATCGTGGCAGCACGTACCGAGCATTGCCGACACGATGCGTCCGTTGGACATGGCTGAGCAATTCTCGTGCAGTAAAATGGAGCCGGGTACACGCCCTTCTAACGAGTGTGCGATAGACATGGTGCTTGGTCAACCCGTGACAACGTAGTTTGCTTGGCTGGATAGGAGTTCCAATCAGACTAATGCGCGACTCCACTAATGGCTGTTCTCAAACTGCAATTGTGCATCCGTAGTGCGTGGGAAGTGTGGAGCTGGTTTGATTGTGAGCAAGGATGGGACGTACAAGCTAGTGACGTGTACATGCAGTGGAGCGGTAGCTGCTCAACGTGACTCTCGTGTGGAGAAGGTAGGTTCCACGGAGAGGAACGTGATAGAATGAAGCTACCAAAGGGCAGTACCCTCTCAGCGTGACAGTCGGAGGGTGGGCTTCAGATAGTACAACGTATTCATGATCGGTTTCGTTCATGATTTGTGTCTTGATAAACGTGTGGTAACCGTCGCGAGGTCACTTGTGGAAACTCATATTACCCCAAAACTAGTCGGAAGAAATGTACCAGAGTAATATGGAACAAGACCCAAGACCCAGAATTCCATACTCTGGGTGGTTACGTATAGTTTAGGCAATTCCGTCGCGCGCACCTAGGTGCCACTTGTTTCAAGCTTTGCTGCTCTGTACAGTACCACACATGGGACCATTGCTGAGCTGTTCCACACTCGGCAACATTGCTCTGAATCTGACAAACGTATAGCTTAGGCAATACACCGTTCAGAGCGCCTCAGTGCCACTTGTTTTCAGCTTTGCTGCTCTGTACCACACATGGCAACATTAGTCAGCTGTACCACACATGGGTTCATTGCTGAGCTGCTCCACACTTGGCCACATTGCACAGAACCTGACAAGGTTGCACTGTAGTTAAATCGTGGTCAGCCCGCACAACTGGGTTCGAGTGGCATATTCTCAGGAAGGGAACAAGGACGAAAACTGTAGGACTGACGTTTTTTAAAGATTGAACTGGTAGTTGTTAAAATGTTTAAATTTGTGCGGAGGGTGGATCGCACACAAATATACTGTAGTCCGTGAATCGAGTACCAAAACGTGCTGAGAATGAATTGGGTCTGAGATGGTTATAGAAAAGGCCAGTGACTGCTGCCAGCTGGAACCAGTTGCGTGTTGGCGTATTGGCGGTGGCGATTCGGCATCAATTTCTGGAGCAAAGCCAGCTGGAACCAGTTGCGTGGTTTGGCGTATTGACGGTGGCGACTCGGCATCAATTTCTGGAGCAAAGCCAGCTGGAACCAGTTGCGTGGGTTGGCGTATTGTCTTTTTTGCGAGCGCCTTGCCAGTGCTTCATCGGAACCATCTACAATTCGGAAAGGATTCAGGCGATGCGATTCGCCGAATTGGATACAGGCACTGTACATATGCCAGATCAGCGAATTTGGACAGAACGAAACTTCGGCGCGCCTCTTGAACATCGCGTGGTTTGGCTGTGACTGTCGTAACTGTCTTCTTGACCGTATCTCACAAAAATGTCGCCAACATTTTGTTCGGCTTGTACAGTCTCGATCGCGACCGTCGCCACTAAGGGGTCAAGTAGAGTGGTCGTTTGTAACAACCTGAACAGTCAATATTTCAACTTTGCAAGCTTACAAACTCATTTTATTTCTGATCTTGTTCACAGACATGCAAAATTGGAAGCCACAGAATTGGCTAAGTGATGGCAACTTTCAAATTTCGTTGGTTTTTTCCATCATGCGATAGCTTTACGTATGCTTTACAGAACTACAACGGAAATAGTGGCCGAAAACACATATACGAGTGTTCTAAGGGGGGAAAATCTCGTTGTATGGGGTAGCTTTAAATGCTCATATCCACTTGGTTTGTGGTCCAATGCAGCAGTTCAATAGCACAATCTTCATCCCTTGACATCCTCTGCTAGTTAGTAACTTATTGGTTTGTTGTGGAAAAATCATCAAAACCTGTTAAATGTTGGTAGGCTGTAGTGGGGTAGCCAATATGGGGTACAACCCCAACTAGGGTTTGCTACTTGTACCCAACTGTTTCATTCAATGCATTCTTTCCTGCCTGTAGATTCTAACATGGTTTCAGAGCACTAAGGTCCGTAGGACCGTTTTTTTTTTCGGGCCCACCTACCGCTGCGGTTACCGCGCTACCCCACGTAGCCTTGCCTTGCCTTGTATGCCTTGCCTTGCCTTGCCTTGCCTGCGCGCTGCCCCTAGAGGCCCGTAAGGCCCGCGCGCCGCCTCTACACGCCTGTTGCTACACGCCTCTCCACGCCCGCACACACGCTGCTACCGCGCGCTGCCCGCACCGAGTCGCGCGCAGCCCGCTGCAGCCGCGCGCAGCCCGCACCGAGCCGCGCGCAGCCCGCTGCAGCCGCGCGCAGCGTGCAACGAGCCGCGCACAGCCCGCTGCAACCGCGCGCAGCCCGCACCGAGCCGCGCGCAGCTCGCAGCTGCCGCGCGCAGCCCGCGCCGAGCTTGCGCAGCCCGCGTCGAGCCGCGCGCGGCCTGCTACTGCCTCGCACGGCCCGCGCGCGGCCCGCAACAGCCCGCGCCGAGCCGCGCGCGGCTCGCTTCTCCCTAGCGCGGCCGCGCGCGGCCCTTTGCCTCGGCCCCGACCTGCCGCTGATGCGGCCCCGCCCAGCAGCTGCCATGGCCCCGACCTGCCGCTGATGCGGCCCCGCCCTGCAGCTGCCACGGCCCCGACCTGCCGCTGACGCGGCCCCACCCTGCTACTGCCGCTGACGCGGCCCCGCCCTCATCACACTAAATCTAGATCCCCCTCTCATTTTCAAGTCTTGCGAACAAGGTTTGGTTGGCCTTTCATGCTTTGTTCTGAAAGAGAAGCTTGAAATTTCAGCAGAATTGCCTGCGATTGGATTCTGATGCAAAACACAGCCCAAACCTTGGAATTAGTGTGTGAAACTCAGTGGGGAGCCTCATCACACTAAATCTAGATCCCCCTCTCATTTTCAAGTCTTGCGAACAAGGTTTGGCTGGCCTTTCATGCTTTGTTCTGAAAGAGAAGCTCTACATTTCAGCAGAATTGCCTGCGATTGGATTCTGATGCAAAACACAGCCCAAACCTTGGAATTAGTGTGTGAAACTCAGTGGGGAGCCTCATCACACTAAATCTAGATCCCCCTCTCATTTTCAAGTCTTGCGAACAAGGTTTGGTTGGCCTTTCATGCTTTGTTCTGAAAGAGAAGCTTTAAATTTCAGCAGAATTGCCTGCGATTGGATTCTGATGCAAAACACAGCCCAAACCTTGAAATTAGTGTGTGAAACTCAGTGGGGAGCCTCATCACACTAGATCTAGATCCCCCTCTCATTTTCAAGTCTTGCGAACAAGGTTTGGTTGGCCTTTCATGCTTTGTTCTGAAAGATAAGCTTGAAATTTCAGCAGAATTGCCTGCGATTGGATTATGATGCAAAACACAGCCCAAACCTTAGAATTAGTGTGTGAAACTCAGTGGGGAGCCTCATCACACTAAATCTAGATCCCCCTCTCAATTTCAAGTCTTGCGAACAAGGTTTGGTTGGCCTTTCATGCTTTGTTCTGAAAGATAAGCTTGAAATTTCAGCAGAATTGCCTGCGATTGGATTCTGATGCAAAACACAGCCCAAACCTTGGAATTAGTGTGTGAAACTCAGTGGGGAGCCTCATCACACTAAATCTAGATCCCCCTCTCATTTTCAAGTCTTGCGAACAAGGTTTGGTTGGCCTTTCATGCTTTGTTCTGAAAGATAAGCTTGAAATTTCAGCAGAATTGCCTGCGATTGGATTCTGATGCAAAACACAGCCCAAACCTTGGAATTAGTGTGTTAACCTCAGTGGGGAGCCTCATCGCACTAAATCTAGATCCCCCTCTCATTTTCAAGTCTTGCGAACAAGGTTTGGTTGGCCTTTCATGCTTTGTTCTGAAAGATAAGCTTGAAATTTCAGCAGAATTGCCTGCGATTGGATTCTGATGCAAAACACAGCCCAAACCTTGGAATTAGTGTGTGAAACTCAGTGGGGAGCCTCATCGCACTAAATCTAGATCCCCCTCTCATTTTCAAGTCTTGCGAACAAGGTTTGGTTGGCCTTTCATGCTTTGTTCTGAAAGATAAGCTTGAAATTTCAGCAGAGTTGCCTGCGATTGGATTCTGATGCAAAACACAGCCCAAACCTTGGAATTAGTGTGTGAAACTCAGTGGGGAGCCTCATCACACTAAATCTAGATCCCCCTCTCATTTTCAAGTCTTGCGAACAAGGTTTGGTTGGCCTCTCATGCTTGCTTGAACTTTCTGTAGAATTGACTGCAATTGGATTCTGCAGAATTACAAACCAAATGTTGTTGACGATGTCAGTAATGGTGCAGTGGAGACTCCCTTCGCTGGTCGCCATGCGTCGTGGTGGAAGTTCCTGGTGTAAAGCAGCGACATCGTATGATTGTATGCTGTTCCGTAGAACCATGAAATCTACCCTGTGACGAGTTGTCGTTGCAAGGAGTTAGCCAAGCCGTATGTAGTATAGTTCATCCAACTTAGTGGTAATACTGCGTATTGCTCGTTCGTATAATTTTACCCGTCCGCAACAACACTTGAACAGCCAATGTAGCTGCGCAGCTCACCCAAGTCTGTGCACGTATGTCTCTTCTGCAGCTCCGACTTCACGTGGGCGAGAGCCTCAATGTCAGCAGTGGCAAAAACCAAGTCGTCGACGTACACGAGGATGTAGAACGGCGGCAGTGAAGTGTCAGTGCGCAG